GTTCAGAAAAGCTGCTCGTGGCCCTGGTGCCCCAACAAACCCTGCCACGATTTTGACCTCACTTTTTTCGGAAAAGCATAGTTTTTCCATAAAACACTTCGTGACCCCAAATCAGAGGCGATGACGCGAGTACGGTCGGAAGAAACATCACGGGAGAAATGGGCGCAGCAAGGGTTGGCGGAGAAAGGGGGAGCGACGCTGACCGCCACGAGGTGGGGTCGAAGAGGTCAGATAACATTCTGGCGAGCTCCTAGGAGGAACAGACGATTTGCACACACCCTGGGGTCAACGCCCTAAGCAACGAATTTAAACGCACCTTAACACTGCCGCCGCGCACATAAAATATTCGATTTAAACAAATCGAATCATCGAGTCGAACCTGCGTGGGTGACTGGACCTGCAGTTTCTCCTAACTGGTTTCGCTGCCCGGTTGAAGCTATACTGATTTTGTTTTGGCATGTCCACGCGGTATGCAAAGAGCACGGGCAAAACGGAAGACGACGAGGGCGATCGCCAGCCAGGAGCGCCCCAACCACGGGAACTGCCTGCACATGCTCCGCGTCGGCGGGAAGACCGGTTGCAGTTACCCCCGCCCTCCTCCCACCCCCATCCTCCGCAGGGGAAGCAAGTGGGAGCATAAAGAACGAGAGCGAAGAGGACGGGAGGAAGGCGCCGGAAAGGGGCGGAGGGAGCCAAGGAGAGGAGACTGGGAGGCAAGGGAGGGACGGTGGGAAGACGTATTGGGGATCTCTCGGGCTCTCTTGAAGCTCTCTTGGGCTCTCTAGGTCTGTATGATGGGGACTCGGCGAGGCCCCAGGGGGGGCCCTCCGAAGCCTTCTTCAGGACCGCCTGGGGTTTGCCTCACTAGAGCTGCTTGCGTGTTGGAGCGGTCGGAGTCGAAGCTTGTTGTTTTAAGCGCTATCTACGCATGTATCGAAATCTGGTTTGATTGTTTTACAGCGCATATCAGAAACATGCAATGCAAAAAGTGCCAGCACCGTGTGAGGAGACTGTTTCGCACGGTCGCTGTGCTCGCGCATGGGCAGTGGAACTTCGCATTTCCTTGGAATCGCGTCGCGATTGCGAGGCGCAAGCGCATATCACCAGAAAGCTGCCGCATGATTGTGGCGCACAAGGCCGGATAACCCTCAGGCCCAATAGGGCTCTAAGAGGGCCCCGAAAGGCCACCAAGGGCAGTGAAAGTGAAGACACGCGAGCGCCCTTTCGCGTGACATAAGTTTCATTCCTCTTGGGGGCCTGTTGGTATCCTCCTTGGGGCTCTAATTCGCCTTTCTGGGGCCGCTAGGAACGGCTGTGGGGGTTCAGAAGAAGCCCCGGAGGGCCCCCAAGGTGAGTGAAAGTTCAGTCACGCGAAAGGGCGCTCGCGTGACTTCACTTTCACTGCTTTGGGGGACCCTTCGAGGCCCCCTTGGGGCCCTCTTGGGGCCTCCGGGGCCCTCTTGGAGCTCTCTCGGGGCCATCTTATGGCCATCCTGGAGCTGTCTTGTGGCACTCCTGGCGCCCTCTTGGGGCCCCCGCGGTAGAGCATCTCAGACGTCCGTTTCAAGTCCTCTACCGTGGGGGGACTCTAGGAACGTTTAAGGCCCACGAGGGCGTGTCTCGGGGCCTCCCGGGCCCTCCCGGAGCCCTCTCAGGATCCCCTTAGGCCTTCTTGGAGCCTTCTTGGAGCTGCCTCGCCGCCAATGGCACTATATACATAGACTGACCGCTCCATGACGAAATAAGGCCGTGGGGCTGAACTGCCCCGGCCGCGAGGCCGGACACTTCAAGCGAAAATTCTGGCCTCAAGGCAAGGTGCTTGAGGCCAAACCTTTCCAGCCGTAAGGCCAGGCAGGCGTGGCCTTCAACCATAACCTCTACGACGATTTTCAACCTCCGCCCCAACGATTTTGGCTACGACTTTGAACATCCGCCCCTACGATTTTCAACCTCCCCCACCACGATTTTGGCTACGATTTCAAGACCCGCCCTTACGATTTTGAATGCGGGGTCCGCGAACCGCCACCACGATTTTGAAAGGAGAGCCTGGACCCAGAGAGAACGATTTGAGTTACAATCTGGTGCCCGATCCAACACGATTTCGTATACAAGATTGGCCAACAATATTTGTGTCGAGATGTCTCAAGCAAGTCGCCCCAAAAAATCGCATTGCAAAATCGTGTGCAAAATCGTCGTCGGTTTTTGTGCTTATCAGGGGAAGGCCCCGGGAACTCTGAAGCACCACCATCAACACATGTTCGTCCTCATCCTCCTTCCGCCAACCGTTCCTCCTCCGAAAACCTCCCACTAAATCATGCCGTCGGTGAAAGCTCCCAAAACGAATGCGCCGCTACACCACGACCGCCATTCAACGCACCAAGAGACCGTGGCCGTCGTCGCCGCCGTAATGTTCGTCATCATCGTAACGCCCGTTGCTCTAGTCGTTGGAACGCTCTCCGCCGTCGTCACAACGCTCGCCATCGCCCTCGTGGCAGTCGCCACATTGGTCGCCGTAGCACTCGTCGTCGTCGTCGTCGTAACGCCCGTCGGCGTTGTGGTCGCAACGTTCGTTGCTGTCGTCGCCGTGACGCTCGTCGTCGTCGTCGTGGAACTAAATGGCGTCGTCATCGCGACTCCCCGCGTGGCCGTGGTCGTCGTCGCGCTCGCCATCGTCTCGGCAAAGCTCGTCGCTGCCGTCGCCGTCGTAACGTTCGTCTTCGTCGTCGCAAGGTTCGCCACCGCCGCCGAGTATTCGTCAATGTCGTCATCACCGTCGTCGCCGTTGCAATCGCAATGCTCGTGCCCGTCTTCGCCAAGACACTCGTCGCCGTCGTCGCCGCACCGCTCGTCGTCGTCGTCGCAACGTTCGTCGGTGTCATCGTGCCAATGTTTGTCGTCAGATACCCCGTCCCCCGAGGACTGGGCGCAAAAGCAGATCCCCCTCAGTGGAGAAACCACATATGCCCTCCAGGTTGTTGAATTCCAGGAGCACTTTTGGAAGATCGTCGCTGGAGACACGCGGGGAAGGATGACGAAACACCTAGGGGCCCGCGCGGGTCACGGAGAGGTTCATGGGGGACCCTTGCGATCGGCAGAGGGAGAAGGACCATGACCGCGCTCTGCGCACATGACGAACCGTTGCGGCAAAGTCGCGTTTTCTCGCCAGCCGTTCCTGCTCCCCCTCCGTTGCCCTGCCAAACCCCAAACGAACATCTGTTCGAACGCCTGAAGGCGAATTTTCTAGTTTCAAAACGCACGAGGAAGCCGCAACGCAACTACGGATTAATGGAACACCGTCCCATCCCACCCCTTTTCGCCGCCTGCGCGCATCCAGAAACCATGATTGCACTTACGCGAGCACTCTTGGTCGAACAAACAACGAATGTTACTGCGCAGCCATTGTATTTTACCAAGGTCCCTCTTTTCCGCTCTTGTAGACGCTCTCTGACCGCAACGACAAATTCACGAAAATATGTGAGCCGACCTGCTGTCGGGAAAAAACGATTGACCAAGTCGCGAGCGCCCCCTGCTTCAAACTTACAACAATCATTATACATACAAGCGCTCGTCGGTTATTCCTGTTTCTTTCTGCTCCGCGTAAAAATTGTTCCATGTTCAAGCGCTCAAACTCCAAACAATATGAAACCTCCACGCTTCATACTTACATGATGTCAAAACCGTAAATTGTTGAAACGGATTTGTGGATGTAACAAGTTTCAACGTTTGTCATTTCAGAAAGCGATGGAAGCTTGAAATCATTCGAACTGTGTCATTCTGAAATTGAAGCGCCATCAATTTGCTCTATTGGCCCAGGCACATACTGTATCTCCGAAAATTTGACGACGCCCGACGGTTTCTGGATTTCAAGCGTCATAGGTTCAAATGCTCGCCCTCGGAGCCACGCGTACATGAGATAATCTCCGACTTGTAAACCTATCAGATGTCAAACTTCAAAGCACCACTGAGCTACATGCGCAACAGCCTCAGATGGAATGGGGGGGGCCGGGCCCCTCCTGTTGGCCCCCGCGCCCTTGCCCTATACAGGGCGCAAATGGCCCGAACGGGGCGCCTGCCGACGATCTCAACGAATAGTCGACACGAGTGCGTAGACGCCCGCGTCTTGCGGGACGCCGCATTCAGGACGTTTAGTTGAACGCGCTTCGCACGCATGCAAAGCGACCTTCCCGCGTCAACCCTTTGACATCAAAATCGTCTGTTGGGCGCCGAAGGCATGAGAGCTGCAGACAATGGCTCTTGGAGCAGGCGAGCGATGTGAAAGAATGCGTGCTGTGATTCGCTTCCGCTCCGTCTCGCCATCGGCGGGCCGGAGATGGCGATTCAGCGTGGCCCGCCGGGCGCAAAGAGCTCTGTGGAAGGAGAGGGGGCCCTGGCACTAACCCGCCGGTCCTTCGAGGCTGACCGATACGCGCGCTGTCAGAAACCAACGCCGGGGTCGTCACGACACGAACCTGCCGCAGGAGAGGGACCCCAAGCTGAACCTTCACTGCTTGAGGCCGCACGTCCTCGGGGCCCTGGTCCCTGGGGGGGCCCATCTCTTCGCGTGTCGCAGACTGCGGCCCCAGCGGCACGCGGTGCCCTGCGAGCGGACAGCGTGTCGCTCCGCTCCGCGGAGCAGGAGGCGCTGGGAACGGCTCGCGACGCTGCCGCTCGCAGGCCGAGGCGCGGACAGCGCGTCGCGCCGAGGCACGCTGGGCCAGAGCACGCGGCGCGAGCAGCTGAGAGCCAAAGTCCCCGACCGTGTCCCCCGAGGCCCCATCGCCGACCCGCCGACGCTCGTCCCCGCCCGCCCCCCCTCGGGGGCGAGCACGAGGCGCTGCGCGGGGCCGTGCGCGCACTGTCGGCGCGGGCGCGGCGCCCCCGACCTGCGCCGGCGCCCCTCGCGCGTTCGCCGCCCGTCGCGCGCCGCTCGTCGTTCGCCGTGCCGGGCCCGTGGGCGGCGCGAGAAGTCACGGCGGGAGGTGATGGGCCTTTGTTGTTCGCCACCCTGGGGCCCTCGCCGAGCCCCGGGGCCGCCAAAGGAACGGCTCGGGGCGAAGAGCCAGTCCTGGGGCAGGGGTGCAGGGCTCCAGAGGTCCACAGGGCAGCAGCAAGAAGAAGAAGCCGCCGTCCGTGGCTCGTCGCTCGTCGAGCTCGGCGTTGGCCCCCGTCCGTCGTCGTTCGCTGTTCGCCGAGCTCGGCGGTCGCCGCCGTCCGAGGGGCAGCCTGAGGAGGGACGTACGTTGGCCTGAGATCGAGCCATGGCGCGCCCCCAGATCTCCAGGAGCTGTGGCAATGGAAGGTCAGCTGTAGCCCCCCTCAGCCTGAGTCTGAGCTTATCCACCCCTAACGTTGCCGCTGACCGTCGTCGTTCGTCGTTCGCGGAACTCGGCATGGCGCCGCCGTCCGTCGAGCGTTCCTCGTTCGCGGAGCTCGGCATGGCGCCGCCGTCCGTCCGTCGTTCGTCGTTCGCGGAGCTCGGCACAGCGCCGTCCGTCCATCGTTAGTCGCTCGTTGAGCTCGGCGTTCAATGTCGTTCGTCGTCGTTCGTCGTTCATTGACCTCGGCGTTCGTCGTCGCTCGTCCTCACGCTGTGCCCCTCCCACCCGTGATGGCTGTCCCCCTGCCTGCTCCCAACCCCCCTTTCGCCCGCGAGTCCAGGCAGAGGTGGTTCAGCGCTTGCGGGGGCATGTTAGCGAAGAACGGGTGGAAGCAAATCAGCTCCCCGACCAGGTGCCGCGTGATCTCCTGGGTCGCCGTCTTGGCACGAGGGCCTCCTCCTCCTCCTCCTCCTCCCCCTCCTCATCCCCCCTCCTCCTCCTCCTCCTCCTCCTCCTCCTCCTCCCCCTCCTCCTCCTCCACCTCCACCTCCTCCTCCTCCTCCTCCTCCTCCTCCTCCTCCTCCTCCTCCTCCTCCTCCTCCTCCTCCTCCCTGGAGGAACGCGGTGCTGGAAGGCGCTCGCCGTTGTCAGAGGGAGCCCAGGGACCCACACGAGCCTCGGGGCCGTCAGTAGACGGCTCGGGGTGCAGCACTTAGTCCTGGAGAACGCCGCGGGGTCCTCCTCCTCCTCCTCCTCCTCCTCCTCCTCCTCCTCCTCCTCCTCCTCCTCCTCCTCCTCCTCCTCCTCCGGGGCCGGTTGTCCTCGGGACCCCTCCCGTGGCGATTTCTGGCGGCGCGCACAAGGGGGTAGGGGGAGGGGGGAAGGTTTCTTAGAAGGAGGCTGCTTATCAGAAGGCGCCGGCATTCCATCTACAAAGAAGGCCCGCGCCTTCTAAGAGGCAGGGGTGCTTCTAAGAAGCCCTCCCCCCTCCCCCATACCCCCTTCTGCGCGTGGCCAGGATTTCGGACGTCCAACAGCCTTCCGGCGAGCGCGATCGGTCTGGAGAGCAGCGTGCGGCTCCAGGCTCCGGGAGCCCCTTCTGGCGGCACCTCGAGCGCCAGGGGCCTCCCTGGCGCGATGGCCAAGAGGGTAAGGGAGGACATGTCCAGGGGGACGCATCGACCACCAACTACGCATTCATCGCCGATAGGGGCCCGATAGCCCACCTCGCCCAGGAACGTGCGGATCTGCCATCGGGGCCTATCGCCAATCCATCGGCAATGTATCGCCGATTCCAGCTCGATGTATCCCCCCCTGAGCTCCCCCCCCCATTGTTGCCCCGCGGACACCGGCGCGCCTGGGCCGCAGCCTGCCGATGGAGGCCCCCGCAGACTGCGTCTGCTCCGCGGCCGCCCTGGCCCTCTTCTTCCCGCCTCCTGCCAGGCTCACTTCGCTGCCTGGCGCCCCTGAGCTGCTCGACCGGCCCGCGCGCGTCTCCAAGAGGTCGGGCCGCTCTCATGGTTGGACCCTCCCAGGCCGCTCGGACCGGATGGAAGGTGCGGGCGGAGTGGCGAAAGAGGCGCACGGGGGACTTGGAGCAGATGCCATCGAGGGTGGTGCAGCAGAGCGCCGGCGACCCGCCGACAGCGTTCCGCGCTGCCCCGAGTAGCGCCAAGCGCCCCGTCGATCGCCCTGGCAGCCGTCCCAGCTGTTCTGCCGCCGCCCCGAACAGAGCTGGAGATCCCGAAGCCCGTCCGGTGACGCGCGGCCCTGCGACGTGCGTCCGTGATCGAATAAGAGGCAGCGGCATAAACATACGGGGGACCTTTTGGATAGCGCGTCGCCCTGGCCGCCCCGGCGACACGAGATGCCTTGAAAGCGGATAGCGTGTCGCTCTGCTCCGCGGAGTCGGAGGCTCGGAAAAGCTTGGGCTTGGGACGTTGACGCCTGGGGACAAGGGAAGTGGATAACATGTCACGCCGAAGCGTGGTAGGCCACAACCGGCGGAGCGACACGCTAAGTAGAATTCCGACCCTAACCTTTGGAGTTCCGCACGGATTTCTTGCATCTGCGCCGGAATCCAACTGGCGGCGCCTGCGGCACCGCCCCTGGCGCGCTCAGCGCGCCAGGGAGAGGGGCCTGGCGCGGATCCAAGAAATCCGCGCGGACCCAAAAATGCATGTTTATGCAAATGTTGGCTGACAGACCGGCGGAGCGACACGCCAACGGCCGTTCCAGAGCGCCCCAAATAGCTCTGAGAGCGCTTTGAGCCGCTCTGGGAGGATCTATCCTGGTCCTACGGCGAGGAGCTTTTTCTCAGCGTGTCGCGGCGGCTGCACCAGCGACACGCTATGCCCCGCAAACTGATAGCGTGTCGCTCAGTTCCGCGGGGCGGCGGGCTGGGAAAAGCTCGGGACACTGACGCTTGTGGACCACGGCGTGGTTAGCGTGCCGCGCCGAAGCGTCGTGAGCCAGAACTGGCATAACGACACGGGGAGCGGTTCCTGGTTGCAGCCCCGCCCGACAATCCCGCCCTCGCCTCCCTCTCCTCCGAGGCCCCGGTGCCCTGGGTCGCAAACACACGAGAAGCTCCTGCTGCAGCCAAGGGGACAGCTCCTGCATGAACGCGGCCTGGCCCCCGCCGTGCGTCTTGCGGTGCCTCTCGGGAGGAGGGCCAGAGAAGGAGAGACAGGAGGAGGTGCGAAAGGATAACGAGGAAGGAAGATACGCTCGCGCCATACCTGACGTCCTACCGCTCCCACCCATCCCTTCCCGTTGCGCTGTTCTTTTCTAGACGCTGAAGCTCGCCATAGCGGACCTGGAACTCCAAAGGGGATCCCATCGTGTCATGCGCAATCAGAAAAAGGGAGCTGCGTACATTGAAGAAGGTGGCGAATGAGCAAGAGAATGAGCAGGAGGAAAACGAGGATGAGAAAGGAACAGGACGAGGACGAACAGCAGCAGCAGGAACTGGAGTGGAAGGAGCGATAAGAGCAGGAGGACCAGAGGAAGGTGGAGGAGGAGAATGATGTGGGCGACAAAGATGGAAAAGGGATCTAGTACCATTGCTCGCGCTGGGACGAGAGCGCGATTCTGAACGACGGGAGCAAAGCGCCGATCCGAAAATGAGGCCTCTGCTGCAGCGAGAGCGCCATTTCGAAAAACGGCAAACAATCATAGTGTACACAAGAGAACATACGACAAAAACGCTGTCGTCCCAATCTTGCGTCAAATCCGCCGATCCAACGTGTGAGTTTCTGAGAGCGTGGGCTTGAGCTCGATCAAGCTTCGGTCTATCGGGGGGGGGGCTGTCGCCATTCAGGCCCCGCCAGGAGGGAGGAGGAGGAGGAGGAGGAGGAGGAGGAGGAGGAGGAGCAGAGGAGAAGGAGGAGGAGGAGGACGAGAGGAGGAGGAGGAGGAGGGAGGAGGAGGGGTGGGGGCTGACGCCATTCAGGCCCGGGAGGGAGGAGGGGGGGAGAGGGGGGGGGGGGGGGGCTGACGCCATTCAGGTTCAGGCCCGGGAGGGAGGAGGACGGGGGGGGGGGGGGGGCTGACGCCATTCAGGCCCGGGAGGGAGGACGGGGGGGGGGGGCTTCGCTCTGTCGGGGGAGGGGGGGGGAACTGACGCCATTCAGGCCCGGAGGCGGAGGGGAGGGGGGGGGGCCAAGCTAGGTGCGCTCGCGTCATATCTGACATCCTACCCCTCCCTCCCATCCCTTACCATGGCGTAGATCCCCTCTCTACTCGCACAGTCGGTTGTCGAGCAGGGCAATGATCCCGAAAGGGTATGCGATGCATTGTAGAGCATGGCATGGCATGGCGTAGAAGAGCACCGCAAAGCGTAGCATCGACCTAGTATTGCATTGCATGCCATGGCATGGCACGGGAAATGACGCCAGCGCTGCAGCGGGAGCACGAGTCGGAACGAGCGGAAGCGCGGAAATGACGCAGCGCTGCAGCGGGAGCACGATTCGGAACGAGCGGAAGCACGGAAATGAGGCCAGCGCTGCAGCGGGAGCACGATTCGGAACGAGCGGGGCCCGAAAATGAGGCCAGCGCCTCAGCGAGAGCAGCATTTTGGAAAAAATGCAAGCGAAAACCCAACTCCGGGGAATCCTGTGTGTTAAAAACACTACGCGGGGGGGGGGGCTAATACTTTCAAACCGCATCAGGGGAAGAGAGAGAGTAGTATTCATATTGAGTAATTGCTGACGCCGTTCAGGCCCGGGAGGGAGGGGGGGGAGGGGGCTGACGCCATTCAGGCCTGGGAGGGGAGGGGAGGGAAGCTGACGCCATGGCCCAGGAGAGAGGAGGGAGGCGGGCTTCGCTCTGTCGGGGGGTGGGGCTGACGCCATTCAGGCCCGGGAGGGAGGAGGGGGAGAGGGGGGAGGGGCTGACCCCATTCATCCCCCCCCGGGAGGGAGGAGAGGGGGGGGGGCTGACGCCATTCAGGCCCGGGAGGGAGGACGGGGGGGGGGGCTTCGCTCTGTCGGGGGGGGGCGGGGGGTACTGACGCCATTCAGGCCCGGGGGGAGGGGAGGGGGGGGGGGGGGGCTGACGCCATTCAGGCCCGCGATGGGGGGGGAGGGCTGACGCCATGGCTGACGCCAGTCAGGCCCGGGAGGGGGAGGGACGGGGAGCTCGCTCAAGCTTCACAATGTCGGGGGGGGGGGGGGGGAGCTGACGCCATGGCCCATGCCATTCAGGCCTGGGAGGAAGAGTGGGGGGGAGCTTCGCTCTGTCGGGGGGGTGAGGGGCTGACGCCATTCAGGCCTGGGAGAGAGGAGGGAGGAAGGTGGCTGACGCCATTCAGGCCCGGGAGAGGGGGGGGACTGACGCCATTCAGGCCGGGGAGATTCAGGCCCAGGAGGAGGGAATTGGGGAGCGGGGGGGGCTGACGCCATGGCTGACGCCATGGCTGACGCCATTCAGACCCGGCAGGGGGGAGGGGGGGGGGAGCTCGCTCAAGCTTCGCTGTCGGGGGGGGAGGCGGCTGACGCCATAGCTGATGCCATTCAGGCCCAGGAGGGGGGAGGGGGGGGGTGACGCCATGGCTGACGCCATTCAGGCCCGCGAGGGAGGAGTCGGGGAGAGGGGGGGGGAGGGCTGACGCCATGGCTGACGCCAGTCAGGCCCGGGAGGGGGGAGGGACGGGGGAGCTCGCTCAAGCTTCACTCTGTCGGGGGGGGGGGGGCTGACGCCATGGCCCACGCCATTCAGGCTCGAGAGAGGGGAGGGGGGGGAGGGCCGACGCCATGGCTGACGCCATTCACGCCCGGGACAGGGGAGTTGGGGGGGGGGCGGGGGCTGACGCCATGGCTAACGCCATTCAGGCCCGGAAGGTGGGAGGGGACATCCCATGAGTTTGGCTGCTCACGCGAGATCGGCACTGTCGAATATCCGAAGGTTGCCCAAGCGAGTTCAACCTCTCTATCTTATGAGGATGTCTCGAGCGAGTGCTCTACTTTTATAAACATAAAGGGTCATCCGTTGCAAGCAGAATCGGTAGCACCCTGGATCGGCGGCACTGGCCGGAGGCCGCTACAATACCATGCGCGGAGAGGGCGGGGCATCTTCTGGACAGAGTCAGTGGAGAGAGGAGAGTAGCATTCAGATTGAGTACCCGTCGGTCGGAAGAGGTAGAAACATGAAGTTGGAAGGCGGTGGGGATAGAATGGGTGTCCGCCCGCCCCCTAAAGAGGACGGAGAAGGTGAAGCCGCTCGATCTGACCTAGGAAGGCGCTTATTAATGTAGATTGGGATCTGGGACTCCAAAAATGCCTACTCTCAACGACCGATGGGCAAGTGTGGAGGGCGAGGCCGACGAGGCCCCTGCGACGCGGCAGGAGGCCCTTCTGGCCCTCCTCGGCCCAGCAGCGAGCGCCGCCCGACATCGGGCTCGCACAGGCCGTGCGCGGGCGCGCCGTGCTATGAGGATGAGGAGGGGGTGGAGGAGGAGGAGGAGGAGGAGCAGGAGCAGGAGCAGGAGCAGGGGAGGAGGAGGAGGAGGAGGAGGAGGAGGAGGAGGAGGAGGAGGAGGAGGAGGAGGAGGGAAGAGGAGGAGAAGGAGGAGGAGGAGGAGGCGCTTTCGAAGCGCCTCGCGGCGGCTGGCGGGTGCAGGACTCCGGCCTCTCGTGCCCCTGCCATGGCGCGGCCCTCCTGCGCTCGACGGGCCGGGGCGCGCGCGAGAAGGCCACGCTCGAGAAGCCGAGAAACCGAGAGCTGAAACTAGCGCCCCGCCCGAGACATCCTCCAAATCTGCTCTGAAAGCCAAGGATGCTGGGCATGAAAACAAGCGAACCGCCTGAGACATTCCCACAAACTGGCCGCGAACGGGCCTGTGAAAACATTCCTGGCGGCCGCCACCGTGCCCCCTGGCACGCTGAGGCGCGGCAGAGTGCCAGGGGCCGTCCGGCAGAGTATGGAGGACACCCCACCTCGTCGCAGAGTGTCGCAAGCACCCCCCCCCCCTCCTCGAGGCCACGATCTCTCGTTAAAAAATTGTTCCTCCACTTGCGGTGGTGGGTCCCCAAAATTGGGGCTTCGACTCCGGAATTGAAAAAGATCAATCCCCACCTTCAATATTGGAGTCCCCAAACTCCTATATCGAAAAAAAACAAAAGTGGAGTTGTCAAACTCCGGATTGACATTGATCTTTCCCAATCTTGGGGTTCAATATTGACGTCTTGGTCCAATATCGGGGTTCCAGCCCCTATATTGGGGTTTCCGAAACCCAATAATGGGGTTTTTCAATTCCGAGGTTGGGAAGTCCAAAATTGGACTTTCGATTGGCCTGCGAAACTGGAGGTTCGAGGCATATTTCCTCCTCCTCCTCCTCCTACTCCTCCTCCTCCTCCTCCTCCTCCTCCTCCTCCTCCTCCTCCTCCTCCTCCTCCTCCTCCTCCACCTCCTCTCCCTTCCCCACTCTGCCCGTTGTCTCTCCCCTTGGAAGTGCGAGCTTTTCCCTTTTCTCCTCTGGCCAGGCCTACGGCCTCGTAAGTTCAAGATTGGAGTTCAAACCCAAATATTGGGTTTGAAACCCAATATTGAGGTAAAACTGAATATTGAGATTTACATTTCAATATTTCAATATTTCAATTCTGGAGTCCAGAATTCAACCTTTTGAATACTTCAATTTGGGGCTTCCAACTCCAATATTGAAGTGGCGGCGGCCGAATTCAA